GATCCAAAGTGTGCCAAGAAAATATCCCACCATAACATCAGCACCTCCACCAGCCTAAACTGTCAATACAAGGCAGGACAGATTCATGCTTTTGACTTGTTTATTCCAAATTCTGACCCGTCTATGTTGTACTGCTACTTCGGTTAATGAATCTTTACCCGTGTACTTAACAAAGTGGCTGGTGAGTGTATTCTTGAGAGCTACTCGTGAGAAACTTGTTCCTACCAGCTCGATACCATCCAAAAGTCATGGTTGCTGTCTGAGACCTTGATGCGATCCACAAAGAGAAGATGCTGATTACAATGCTGACAAAATCCGTCAGAAGGTGAGCTGCGTCCGTCATGATGGCCAGACTGCCGGCGGCGTATCCACCTGCAGAGGAAACCGTATGTGTGTTTGGGCAGAGGAACCAGAGGAAGCCTGAGTGTGTCACTTTAAGATCAAGTTTGTATGGAGCGATTCAAACTCAACAAGCTTTACATATTTATGCATGACACAGTAAAAAACAAATATAGGTAAACTTCTTTTTTTTTTTTGGCAGAATCAGAGTTGCTGGCACGGAAATTTGTGATGAGTCTTTTGTCTCACCAATGGCCTCTCCCGTCATGAACACGAGGCTGACGACACATGCAGTGAAAAGCTTCTTTCTGGCCAAACATCTCAAGTCCCTCTCAGTCACCGACCTCCAATCGGCCTCTTGGCAGAGCCATTCGTGCTGCCACAGCCCCTCCACACTGAGGGCGTCTTCACCGAATTCTGAGTCTGAGCACTTTTTCTCTGGACCGCTCACCCTGACACAAGACGGAAGATCTACACTTAGGCTGGCTCAATGTGGAAGTCAACAGTTTTAAAGCCATCTGTGTTGAACTTTGGTGTTTCACGAGGTCAAATGAAAAATAAAGACGTACCACACAAGAGGCTCCAAATGAGTCTCAATCAAATGTTGCTTCTCTGGATCTGTTGATGACTCCATATCCTCATGTTATTGACAGCTGAGACACTCCCGTATTTAAGGTTGACCTGGAGCTAGAGGGAAGCCTGGCAACTTACCACCTGCTCTAACCCACACTATCTCTCAGGGGTGGAGCACTGCAGGAGCCAATGGCAGGTTACTGAGCCAACTCCAGTGAAATTATAAGACAACCGCATGACATTTTCTGAATTATTCAACTTTATTTCATGAACTGCTTTAGTAGAAACTCAAATTTACACCAACAGTTGGAAATCTGTCAAAGTGGACAGAACAAACCCAGCATGGAAATGTTTAGATAATGACATAAAATATACATTTCTGTAAAATTATTCAAAAACTGCATTCAGGCACTTTTGCGTCAAGTATAATCATTGGCATACAAAAGAATACAAGCAGGCTTTTAAATACACTGCAGTCAAGAATCATCAGAAAATCAGCATCCATATTATTATTATTATTATTATTATATCCAGATTTGTATAAAATGAAGCGCAATCTCAACATTTTTACCCCGAGAGAAAATAGAAAAATATCATTTAAACAAAAGAATCTTTATCTTAATATATACTCAATTTGTAATAAATCCTCTAATCATAAATATAGCTGACTTTACACAACAATCACGACATACACAAAAAAGTCAAAATGGCAATAAGTCAGAAAGCTGCGATCTTATTTTCTAAAGAAACAAACGACGACGGTTTTAGTGTCAAGTGTAGAAAAATTCACACAACTCTATTCACCTCCCTGCATATTTTTTTACTTATGTGCAATGACAAAAATGACCAACTGTACCTCTTCTAAAACACTGGCTAACTTTCCAGGAGTTACAACAGATTATCATCACTGCGTCTGTGTGTATAATTAAGTAAGCTTGAGCTGCAGCCAAAGGGACTTAAGCATAAAGGTTGAAAACATCACAAGTGGAAACATCAATCAACATGTCCAAAACACATGTCTTTTGTTTAATCTCTGCACAAACAGAATAAACAATGGTCCACTGGTCCAGCCGGTTCTTTGCTTCAGGTAGTGAGGGAGGAGGAGGCTTGGAAAAAGGTGTGCTCCCCCAGCTGGTTGGCGAGTGGTTCCTGGGGCTTGCTGGTTGTTGCTAGGTGAAATCACACACAAAGAGGGCGCTACAGCAGAAGCCTCCGTGTGATTCCTTTGGTTTCTACACATTGCTGCACTCGCCCATCCAATCACAGTTAAATGTAACTCATTTAGGACTAATTTCTAAACGTACCATTGAAGTAAATCCAATCTTTTTGTGTTAATTAAAAGCAGGTATAAAAATCTGGTTTGATTTTGAAGCTGTTGTTTTACAATTATGGCATTTATAGGAAGACTCAAATCATATTTGGGGGGGTATTTCATCCATTTACGATCTATCCGTAGTAGATTTCAAGTGGACAAACACAAATGTGATCAACAGTCCTCATTCAACTCTCAGAATTAGGTGATTTAGTAATTCCTTAAAATCTCTGCAAGCATCACAAGACTAAACTTCA